TTTTTTTTTTTTGGTTCAACAGACAAAGGGATGTCTAGGCTAATTTACAGTATCTCGACTAATTTTTTCTTCAATCCAATCCAATTTATTATATCGAAAAATAATTTTTCAATATTACACTTCTACTTTTCATCAAATTACTCACATTTTGTTTTTGAACGGGAAAATACCCACAATTTAATTGATTTAATCTATAAGAACATCTCAAATTCTAACTCAAACATAAAATTTTTTACTAATATCGACCTAATTTTGAGTAAAAAATTTAGTCGAGATGGCTTATCATACCTGCATCTGAGCTTGAACTGACCAAACATGTCCAGCAGATGGGCTTGTCAAATAGGCCATAATCCACTAAAGATGGACGGAGGGCAACCTGATTTACTTCCTAAAAACCCAAAACAGCCCTGAATATCGATCCAGTCAAAATTGACTGGACCATATCAGCTGGTCCAACTTGGAGTTTTGCTATAAGATGGAATTTGAAATTGGCCAGGACACACTACATATGAAATTAGCTTTCTATATTTGAATTATATACCTATTTAAGAATACTAGAAATTTGGTAATTTCTCCTCTGACTGGGATAAAAATCCCACTAATCCCATGCATAGTGGCAGCTAATCCCATGCATAAGATTCTATTGTGAAAGAATTTTTGGCCCTATAAAAATTGGAGAGTATCCATCTACAAACACAAAATTTATGGCCGCTTGATATTGCTAATCATGAACTTGCACTCGGGACCGAATCTTAATGAAACACTGGATTTGTGAAGGATAAACCAGGGGACTAGTAACTAAAATTTTCCCCAAAAGAAGTATTAATATTGGCATGCTGTTCACAGGAAACATTGCAATTCGTAGAAGAAGGAAACAAGACTAATAAAAATTACAATTAGATCCTTATAGTGATTGCATCACCATACATTATTTATTGAATACCATAATTAACCTTTAACAAAATTACATTTGTTTTTTTTTCTTTCTGGTTAAGGACATTTGTTATTCCAGCATATTTAAATATACTTTTTCCTAAATTGGTATAAACTGACACTCAAATCCAAACATGCCTCTACTCCTTACTCTCCCCTTTTTCTTCTTCGTCTCTCTCCTTCGAATATCCTCCACCCCCACCCCCATCCCCACCCAAACATGGCAATTCACAATACAACTGCCATAAGAACTCAAAAAAAATTATTGGTATAAATCTAAACACCCCGGTAAAGTGTTAATCAAGACCACAAGCTACTCGAGAGCAATTCAATTCGTAGTCTAAAAAACTCATATCGAACTTACAAACCTCAACTCGTTTATGTATAAAATAATCAAACTATTTCAATTTAGCTCAAGTCATTTTTTAAACAAATACAATTTTTTAAATTTACTTAAAAATACCAACTTCACAGACTCAGACTCGATTAACTATAGCAAAAAAACAAAATCATATATTTTATTGTTTTATCAATTTTATTTTCTATAATTACAAATTATTCAACTCAAAATCAACCAATAAATTACACTATGATACCAAAGTCGATACCATAATCTAATCAAAAAAAAGGGGGATTAAAAAGTTAATTTTATTCATGTCCTTATACAGCACCAGCACAATATTGACCGAATTCCATTATTGCACATCAACAAGATGGCACCACTCGACCACCACCCCCCAACAATAAAATCATCATCAGACCTTATGGTGCAAAACCCACACACGTTGCCAATGCTCAACCGTGGAAAAGCCTCCACTAAGGGAGCATCAGTACAGCACTTTCTTACAGTGACAATGGACAAGATCACAGATCAGATAGTGGACTATTTTGCTGTTTTCCTTTTGTCTTTGTGGGTGTCAAAGGGATCAAAGTGGAACCCAGTGTCATGGTGCCACGTCAACTGTGATGTGAGCGGCCTTTTATCTGAGGAGGGATGGTGGAAATGCCTTGTCTAGAGAGCTCAGTGAGCACACACTCAGTTGAGGGAGATTTGAGTCCCAAGGGCAGGGGAAGCCATGGCTTGCTAATTGCTTCCTTCACAACCTGGTCAATTACTTCCTCTGCCTGCATAGAGCGAGTCAACGAGGTTCATGAGCAAAATCCAGGGGCATTTGTGAAATTTCGATTTTGGGTTTTACCTACATGAATATTATTGTTATCTTTCCATTACATGCGATAATTCTTGTTTAAAATTATATTATTGAAGCGTTTTGAGACGTCTACATGTGAAAATTGAGACACCCGTAGCATATCTCATTGGGAAGGTCAGGAGTTCAGACCCCAACGGAGGCATAGAATATCAAATGCAATGGAACCATCATCTAATTACATACTTACACATAAGAGCTAGTGAATCTCAATTAGTCTATAATAATATTACCATACCCAACATTATCAGTAATTATCCATTCTTGGATTAAGTATGGTTCACTACATGTGTTAGTTTATAATTGGATGCCAATACCCGATATTGACAATGGCGTAGTATCAATATTGTATTCGTCATTTACTTGCCAGCATTTGTTTTTTGAGCATGAGATTGGGAAATCGAATATTTACCGGATGAAGGTCAAAAGAATTCATTGGCATTCTCCAGCTATTCTGCATCCTTTCTGTGCTCTGAAAACCATCAGCATCCTGCATTATCAGAAAAAGTGTCACTCAACATTTCTCAATGCATTCCATAAACAAAAATAATGACATCAAATCACTCACTTGAAGATGGGATGTATAGTGTGAGTAATGTGGTGGCATCACCGGGCAGCCCCATGCATCGGCTTGCACCTAAAACATTATAAATACACATACATATCAATTATGTGTTGTGCTACATACAACTACTTTTCCCTAACAGGAGGCAAAAACAATTTCAAAATGTTACCCCTGCAGGACAAGGCCTCCAATGCCAACTGTCTGTAGCCTGCCATGCAGGATAGAAAGGTGAGCCCCATATCTGGACACCGCCTTGATAGTTGCTAGGCGCTCCCCATGCAGGGTAAATGTGACCGGGTGAAAGCGTATGAGTGGAATGATATGGAGGTAAGGCAATAGCACCTTTATGTGGATAATAACCCCTTTGCAAAGAATCTTTCAGCTGAGGGCATCTCCGGACATCTTCCTTTGGCAAGATGCGTCTCCTATTCATCCTATATTTCTGCTGGGAAATAATTTCACCCATCTAATCAGGTGTTTTCAGCACCACATGAGATAAAATCATTTTAACTATTGGTTAATGACTGGCAAAAACATGACAACGTTTGAATTTTTAATAGTGGAATGATCAAATTTGCTGAACACTGCAGGATTTTGTTTGAAGTTCAATTTCTAAGCTAAAGCGAGAGGTCAATATTTCTCAAAAACCTTGCTTCCTTTTTGTTCGAGTTCAGATTCCATGAATGACAAACAATGAAACAATATTAGAAGCCTGACCATGGCCGATACTTCAATTTCTGAAAGAGTAAAATGTAGCTATGCTAAGTGTCAAGTTCAACCATGAATCAGCATTGGGGAAAAAGATAAACCTTCCATGAAGAATTAAACATCTGCATGCATAGAAAAGGCAAAATGTTATCTAATCATAACAGCTATCTGAGATCAAACTCAAATTAGTTGACAAGGAGATAGTTTTTTAGAGCTCGAAGAGGGTATTTTTAAGGCTTAGGCTTTCCTATAAGTATTTGTTCTTTACAAATTTAAACACAAATCTGCTGAAGTTAAAAATTGGTTTGGTCTTTGGATTAGATAATGAACAGCTTGAAAACAACAGAGCTTTAGGAACTAAGCAGGTTCTAACTGACCTGGAGATGACTTGCCACATTATGTCTTGTCAAACCTTCCACTTTCATTAGTTCTAGTATTCGAGAAGGAATGGCCTGATCCACGCCAAGTTGCTCTACTGCCTGCACAAACTTTTTGTGCAGTTCAGGCGTCCAGTCTACCTAAAAATCAAACCAAAGGCAAACAATGCTACAAAATTACTCTGGATCGCTCAGATTGTGACCACGGAGACTGGGATACAAAAATAATTTTAATAAACTTGATCTAAATTTACTTATGTTCAGTGAAATGAAGTTACACATTTATCATCCATTTGGTTGCAGAAGAAACCACAGAAGAATTCGCAAAAAATAGACCAGAAACTCAATCAAGTAAAGATAATAAATATTATTGTATAATCGCATTATAAAGAATCTAGCATGAGTAGCCAATCAGGGATTAACATTTCGGAATCAAACAAAGCAATCTCTGTTAAATATTGGGAAATTAAACAGAAAAAAAGTAGTGAGTTTTTGTTTCAATTTATATTTCAGTATATGCATTCGAAACCATCTGGACTACTGGTAGGGTATACCCAAGCTTATATGCCAGCCAACTTACTTTCATCTTCTTCCGATTAGCTTTAGTCTCAGAGGAATTATGAGGCCCAGATGTTTTATTAGAGTCTTCCACAGCACCACCAAAATTGCTCACACAATCTTTACTTTGAGGACAACCATCACCCTTAAAACCATCAACTGATTCATCCTCCTTTTTAACAGCAGCCTCCTCCACTCTTTGACATGGACTCATGTGCACTGTAGTTTCAGCAACTAAATTGCTACTAGTAATTTCGACAGATTTACATTCCCCATCTTGGTCCTCACTTTCTTTCTCTGTTGAGAAGTTGATTTGATCCAGACAATCCCCATCATCCAATAACCTCACTCCTTGTTTCAATTGTGGGGTTGACGGAGCAGGGTACTTGTCACTGCTTGCTGACAGCTCCTGGTTGCTTTCTTGAACTGCTATCACATGTTCTGGTACAGCTGAGATTCGATTCTTTGATCCTTCGTTTTCCAATTGGAGCTGCAGCATAGAAACCACTGATTCTTTGACGGGTTTTAATGATTCAGAGAGGTCTTTTTCTCCGTGATTGAATGCCTGCTCACCAACAATAAATATAGGACATTTTGGATCATCTCACAATTATCTGATAATATTACAACCAATGCAGTAAGGCTAAACCTAGACTAACCTTACGAACTACATGCTGCCATATATTTTTCAGTTTGTCCTCGGAAAGTGGTTTCCTCAGGAACTCAACTGCACCAAGCTGCAAATCGCAGAAGAAATTATTAGAAAAAACAGATTAACATAATGGTTCCCACAAGGCTTGCCAAGTTTAAAATTTTGACCTCATCGTCAATGGCAGTCAATTCATAATTCAAATTTTTGCGTCAAGGTTAATTGTTGATTCAGAAATGTTGAGAGATTGTTTCAAAATTATTCTAGTACTGAACAGAATACATCAAAACCATATTACAATCATTGCACATTGATCTCCATTCTTTGATAACGCAGGTGTTAAGTAATGAATGTTTAGAGAACTTAGATATCTCACCGCAATGCACTTCATCATTGTGCTGAGGCAGTGTATGTTTGAAGTCACTGTAACAAAATCAAAATAAAATACATCATTATTAGAAGATGGTAAAATATCTTGAGGAGGAAAGCACATTGCTTTCTCAAGTTCATCTTGTGTCACTCATTCAACCAGTTAAGAGATGTTTCAAAGACAGTCGTAGTAGCATAAACCTAAAATATGCCTAACCTTGGAATCTGGTAATCAAAGTAAAGTTTTTTGCACTTACTAATGGTGGGCAAGTCTTTTGCACTTTCTAGGAACTTGAGTCTCCCATCACTGTTGTCTGTACTCACCTGTGACAAACAAATAGAGATGTACAGAAATTACAACACAATCGTCAGGACTCTGTAATCAAAAGAAGAAAAGGAGTGAAACAATGCCAGTTCACAGGATACATTTAGCTATGCTGTAAATTATGGTACTCTATCATGAAGCCCTAGCCTAAGGACACATACCCCTTAAACCTACCTCAAAGAGTTATTGTTTTCACTTCAGATGACCATAGTTTTATCTTTTAATATATAAGTGCAAAGACTTGTATGCTTCTCAAACACGAGTTGTACACAATCACAACATCATTATTCATGGAATCAAATGCCGCCTCAGTTTTATGAGGTCATAGTGATAAATGTTTAGCAACTAAGAACACATGCACGTATATGAATAAGTTCATATTACACACGGGTATCATGCTAGTTTATTCAATGTCAGTACCTCTACAATAGCGACATGGAAGCTCTCAGATTGGCTTGTAATTGCTGACAAAGCTTCATTCTCACTGTAGAATGTAGAAACTGTAAAGGGCATGTGAAAAGTGATATTATTAGAGATATCTATCTGATCATGTAAACAAAACCATACATGCAAAAAAAAATCATATCTGCCTCTAGAGAGGGGGAGGGGTGCTTAACTACCTTAAAAAATATAAATAGAATACAATATTGTGGGAGCTTAACAGATAAGAAGTATATGTAGAAAGAGAAGTGGTTAGGCTAAATATAGAAAGAAGTGCTCCAATGCTGTCAAGTTCTCAACAAATGAAGAAAACTTCCAATACATCCACAGTTATAGTTTGGAGACATCAAGTGAATTATGTAATTTTTTTTTTTTATGTGAATTATGTAATTAAGAAGCAGTATCGCATTCAAAAAAGTATGCCAGGGACAAAATATTCAAGATCATAATTAATAGGTTATTTATACAGCAAGATTCCAAGTCCCATTCACTCAAAAAATCATATGCAAACTATAAAGCAATGGGATCATACAAAGAACCAAAATGGGGACCGATGTAGTCAGCGAATTTAAGGTAAAATTTAAGGGAGCAACACAATTTCTGGTTCAAGAAGGAAAATTAGAATGTAAAAAGCTGGACGAATCAGAATCTAACCAATATAATCCATTTCCTCAAGCTTCGATCTTAACTCAGCTGCAGAACTACTGTCCTCATCAAGGAGAAGGACCCTAAGGCCCTTGGGGAAATCTTTCCAGCCCAGTAAATCATTAGCAGTGCAAACCATAGCTGGTTTGGCATCGTTCTCAGTCCATCGCTGAGTGCTGTAAATCCTAACTCATCAAAATCCAGTTAATTCTGCAGAACCCAAAAAAATTTCAGATCAACATTGCAATCCCTTCCTTTACATATGTAGATTATTTAGCCACTAAGTACATAATATGATCATGAACACATACAGTAAAACAATGTATACATAAAAAGTCGAATTCCCAAATATGCACATCTCTAACTGAACTTAAAGCTGAGGAGATCTCACTAGAAACAAAAATATGTATATAATCACTAAAAATAAGAACATTAAACAATTTTTCAAAAACACATGAAATCCACAATGTAAGTTAAGTTTATTTTTACCATGCAGGCACATCACAAATTTGATTCCGAGATAATATATGCACCAGACATAGTTAATTGAAAAGATACAACAGTACCTGATCAAATTTATATTCAGCAACAAATAAAATCATGACATCATCTAATATAGAGAAGAAAATCATGTGCAAGTTATTAGATCTTCACCAACAAATGCCGGTTTTGCACAACAGCAAAATAAAATAAACTTCCCATGTGAGATCTCAAGAAGAATACAAATGACGAAGACAGCAAAAGAACAAACAAAGAGACAAAACATGAATAGAAATCACAACAAAGTCATGAACCGTAACAAAAAGAAACCCACAAGAGAGACCACAAATATCGGATAAACACAATAAAACTAGCTCAAACACACATGCATATGATATGGGTGTATAAGTTTGTTCACAGAAAATGCAATGAAAAGGAGCTTTCTATTACCTTTGGCAAAAGAAAGAGACGCTTTTGCTCTCTGGTGGTTTTCTACTTCGTCTTTATGTTCCAACTTGACCGTAAAGAGTGAAACAGAAATCAACAAAACATATACAGACAGAGAGAGAGAGAGAGAGAGAGGAAGAAGGGGTGAGAGTGAGAGGTTTTAAGTGCGCTTGTGGCCCTGTCCGTGACTTGCTGTACAATTGCTATCGGTTGCTACGGACCACAGAATATGCAAAAAAGCTCTTGCAAATGGTAAATAGTAAATACTCTCCATTCAAAACAAAAGTGGTAAATACTCCCCTAAAAACAAAAATAATATTTTCCGAATTTAATTTACTGATATAATAAATCTGTTATTGAATCAAATCAATGATTAATATGTATTAAGTCATTAATTAAGGTCAAAATAATATTTTTTTTAAATAATGTCACTTGAACTTTAAATACTGACTTAATTTATTCACTTAATTAATTATGACCATTAATTTAACTTTTGAGTCCGAGGATATTTGTTGAGACTCAACATTACTTCAATGATTATAATTAGTAAGTTAGTAAATGAAGTCAATTTTTTAAGTGTAAATAGTATTTTTAAAAAAAAGATAAATGTTCATTGGTCAATACAATCCTTTTTTTTTTTTTCCGCGGATTAATCATTTATTACTAAATTCCCTTTTCAAGCATTAGTACAATGCTCTCAACTTACCACCTTTGAGAGCATAAAGTGTATTATTCAAAAAAATAGTCATATTTATTTTTCATTCATCCAATCAAACGCAAATAGAATAAAGTGTATTATTCTTACTTTTTATTATTGAAGAATAAAAAGTGTATTTCTCCTACTTTCCATAATTCATAACAAACGAAACATTAGTTTATTTGGTTGTTAAAAACCAAAAACAAAAATTGTTAATTTAACTAGAATTATTTCAAAGGTTTTTATTTGTTTATATGAAAAAAAAATGCGATATTTTTTTATGTTTCTAAAATATTTTCAAAACGTTTCTATTTCTTTTGACTAATCGAAACATGTCTCTGAAAACGAAAACTTTAAACTTTGTTTGATGAGAAGATTATTCAGAAAGGCCTAAAATTAATATCAAAATTATCCGTAAGAAAGAAATATCGAATTTTTTATGCAAAAATTATCCAAAATTAAATTGAGCAGGGAATGACAAGTCATGTGCATTTTGGATAGGGTAAGGGCAGTGGACTTTATGACTGCCTCTGCCTACAACCTCACGAGAAATTTAAACAACACCGTCCCTTTCAATAACAAACTTACTTCCTCGTCACGTTCCGCTGATCAAATTTAATGTTTAAGTTTATCTTTATAAAAAAAAATAAAAAAAATTAATCTAAATTTTCTCCAAAAAATCACCCAAACAAGCCTTTTGGATGGAGTTTATTAACTTTTTACGCGCACTCACATTTTAAGTTCACTTATTATTATTTATTTTTAGAATAAAATTTACTATTTTTTAAGAGTTTTTTTTTTTTTTAACTCTTGGGTACAGTACTAAGAAGTAAGAAAGCGATATCTTGATATTCCCTCAATTTATAATTCGTAAAAAGAAAAATTACAATATAATGATTAATCATAAATACACATAATCAGATAAATAATTGTAGTAAATTATAAACCTTGTGCAAAGCACACAAGAGAACATGCTTCAACAAGTCGTGTAAATTGAAATAGTAGGTGGCGAGGTGAACTCAATTACCCAGTTATTTCTAGAAGACATGGATGGCATGAGACAACTTGTTTTCAAACCAGGCTGACATGTCTATCCAAAACCACTTCACAATCTAAAAGTCTAGACACATGGATCAAACTTTTCAAACACTCATTTAATCCTTTTTTGTTGTTTTCCTCTGCCTAGTGGTACAAAGTCTCATCTCAAGGCTTGTTTAGATACCTTAGAAAATTCTTTCACAAGTGTATTTTTCTTTCATCATGTGGAAAATCATTGAAAATTACTGCATTCAATGTACAAAACTTCCGAAAATGAAAAATATTACACAATTCAAATAGAATTCAAAAATTATAACTCAAAATAAATGTATATTATTATTTGGACGAGTAAATTTCACTGAAAAAATTAATAGAATTCACTCATTTGAAAGATAATATACATTTAATTGCATCTTAAATAATGTGTTAAAATCCTGTACATCGATTATTTGGTGGAAGTTGGTAGACCCACTGATCTAACTATTAATCCTGATTTGAGATACAAAATTTAGTAAATGATTTGATAAAATAGCATGGCTTATCATTTATATCTCTCAATTTCTTTCGAGTAATGCTATACAATCCAAATGAAATAAAAAAAAAATTACAACCCAAATGCATATCATTTCTTAGATGAGTGGGCCCCATTAATTTTTTCAATGAAATTCACTCATAAAAAAAATAATATATATTTGAATTGTACAGCATTTTTCATAATATTTTGATTAAAATCATTTTGGTAGCAGCAGGTTTAATATACAAATGCACCTTATTTATAACCATGGTCTTTTGAAATTAGCTCTTGAATAAGTCTCAATTGATGTTACTGTGGTCCTTTTTTTAGAAGAATAAAGATTTTTATACCAAAATTTTTACCAAATTTTGAATATTAAATGACGTGGTACACTAATAAGCATCAGATCAAGTGAAAGTTACCGAAACTCGTTAATCTAACCATTCGGATTGATTTGGTGTGAAAACTTTGATTAGACCCCTCTATGATTTCATGCATGATTTCCCTTTTGCCCAAAAGGGTTCTATCCCCTGTGATAATGGTTGGCCTTATCCCTCCGTCAAAAGGCAAAACCCAGTGGGACCCCCACAAGATCCTATGTTTTAGATCTTTGCCGACTACATCTTTCGCATCATCTCAAATCTATTGTGTGTATCGAAGGGCTCAATCATTTGAGAGAGAGAGAGAAAGAGGGAGAATTTTTCGAAACCCACAATTTTTTTTTTTTTTAAGTTTAATGCTCGGTGTGTCTGAGTTAATTTATATGTATCTCTAATTAATCTCTTTTTTAGTTTAGTTAAAAGACAAGTTATTTACCTTGGGACTAGAATATTAATGAGGGATAAATACTTTATAATCTAATTCTAAAAAATTATCAAGATTCAAATTTAAAATATCTAAATTTATAGTTCGTTTTTTATTACTACTTAATCTAATTGACATTTGAAAAAAAAAAAAACCCACAATTCAAAACATCAAATTCATGGTCAAAATTGTTGTCATATTGAAAAAGTTGGTAATGTCCCCATTATAGCATGATCGGTAAAGAAACAAATTTAAACACAACCCTATCTTTATAAGCAAAAAAAAGAAATTATTCTCACAACTCTAATACCTAACATTCGTGTCACAAACAAAACATTCTCATCTTTGTGCCTACGACCACTCTCACTAATGTGAATACAACTACTTGTTGACCCAAGCTTAGTCTCTCTTTTGAATCTTACACCAACTTTAGGATCCACTTTGCTTAATGACCAATTGTCCTCTTGACTCAATTGTTTTTTCATCTTCTTAGAGGCATTTGTACTGTATATCAAGGATGAATACAGTAAGTGTTGCATGGTTATCTATTTAATTAATCCAAGAGACTATTATTTGTTATATAGTTGCTGAATCATCCATATATATATTTGGTGTACCTTCTTGTTGATTTGTTGTTTGTTTTTACTGTGTGATTTACTTTGATTCAAGGTTGTTCCATTCTTTTAAATTTAAGGAGTACTAAGGTATTCTTTAATAAAACACTTTTTTTTTTTTACCGTGGGTTAAAAAGTTAAATGTAAATAGACTTACAATTATTGTGGTTAAAATTTATATCATAATATAAATTATCAGACCTAAACAATTTAGACCGTTTTATTGTGTTTTGTATAAGCATGACTATTTATATATTCATGCATATATGTATACAAATATACTAATATCTCAATTTGGCAGAATATTAATTTGACCATCCTTTTGATTTTTTTATAATTTTTTTTGGCTTACAAAAATACTAAAAAATAAACATCATCGAGCATTACACTGAGGGGTACTCAATTACTGAAGAAGAATCATTGTGATAACGTGCTCTATGAATTCATAATTACGACATAAATCTATAGTTTCGCAACCACCCTAACCAAACTTTAGTAGATAAAATGATATCCGAGCCCAAAATATTGAAATATTGTACCACTAAAACCTTCTAAAAGCCCTTGCTGGATCCAATTATGGAAATTTAACCCACCATGAATGAATTGTACAAAATGATAATGTCTCCCTTAGAATAATTATCTGATTTTTTGTTGGAGTTTTTTTTTAACTTTTACCCTACAACAGGGTTGGTGTATATATATTTTAAATCATTTAAGTATATATTGTGCAGAGTCATTCTCCTCCAAAATGGCATAGAAAAGACTGAGAGAGCAACTTTATGTTAGTACATGTTTGGAATTGATATCAACATGAAGGGTAAAAGAACCAATTGGACCTGACCTGTGGTATTATTGGCTGTTTTGACCACTTGTCTATCCACATAGGGCAGATGATTTGGATCCAGAAATTAACACAACCCATGTGGTACCCCCTTTGATTTATTTATTTATTTATTTTTGGTTCAATTATTAGACGAGTTTGGGTCGATTAAATTTTTTCTTGGATCGGTTAAAGACAAATTATTTATATTGGAACTAAAATATGTTTTAAAAGATAAATCTATCATAGTCCGATATCAAGGAATTATCAAAATTTGAATTTAAAACGTCTGAATTTACAATTCGTTTATGTTACCGCTTAAACTACCATAAAAAGTACTCTTTGATTTAAATCAATGGGAAACACAAAATATTTTTTGTTTTCGTATCTACAATTATGATTCAAGTTACGATTCAAAATAATTATTTGTGATCGTTCTCAAAAAATTAATCTTGTGAAATTGTAGCTTCGAGTACCGGACTAAATTTTTCACAATTTTACGAGGGGGTATTTGATATTGCAATAAAAATTATGATTTCAATCGGTTCAACTCACTATTCAAAAGATTAATTATCATGATTCTCAAATGGTTATTTACTCCTATTATTAGTAAATAGGTGGTCTTTAATTCTCAGGAGTGGTCAAACTTATCATATTGCAAGTAAGAACTCTTAGGTTCGATATTTTTCACATTTTACATGCTCTGAAAATATATTCTTAAATTTGCTTGAATTATGATGATTGACTCAAAATTTCGACAGCAAGATAAATATATATATATATTGGTCTTTTAGGAAGTGCATGCACAGTGAAACCACAGCCCACGGATCTAATATTCATCTCACCTCTAAGTTCCATGCTTTTTTCTGACTACAGAAATGATTGATTTGGTAAACCAAGTCTTGTTTTTTCAGGCTATGGAGGTGACATAAGTCCGAGCATCATTTCATGCTTTTTTAAGTAGACTTTGGAAATAATCCACAAGATTTTCAGTGACTGATCTATGCTCACTGATCACTGAGCATAATAATCCACTGAAAAATTAATGCTCACTGATCTATCATCAAATTCAGTTTGCGTACGAAAGTTTGGCAAAATATTGAACTGGGTTCATATTCTCTCTCTCTCTCTCTCTCTCTCTCTCTCTCTCTCTCTCTGTGAGTCACTTCATGAGCCAAACTTTTGAAAGTATTCTCCCAATAATTCAGATGAAAAACAATGTTTACTTGTTGGTTTTTAAGTATCAGATTATTGTGGAATTGGGTGAGACGTAAAGCAGCATACTACACAAAACTCTTGTTATGACAAGATCGGGAGAGAATCAATTGCATAGAGTTTAATCTCACATGCAATGAGACTATCTTTATTAGTTGAACCAAATCACAATAAAATAAACTTTCACTGAAAAAGAAAATTGTCGCCGAATGTCTAATCTAAGCAAAATCAATCAACGTAAACTTACTGAGACATTTGGTTGATCACATGGTTAGTTGCAAAAAATCAGTGTGGGTGTGCTAAGATGAGATCACTTAGGTGGTGGTCATAATCATTCTTAGGTGGTTTGTTCATTTGTCTACCACTTAGGTTGGACTATGGGACCAAGATGAGACTTGTAAGCAAAAGGTACAGTTGCTTAAGTCACTTAATGTGGTGATGGTTCATCAAATCAGTAAGATGAACTATTTCTGGTAGGTACATATGCACAGAGAGGTACAATACCATCGCCCACAGCTTGAATCTCAAATGGTTTCATGTCTCGGCTGATTTTGGATCACAAATGAAACCATGGAAAACCACCTCAAGGAAAGGTATGTACTTCTTCAGGGTACCTATTTCTGACTAAAATTCAGGCACATCATTTTACCCCTGAGATCATCACCAAACCCCACGGTCTCTCGTTAAGGATCTTGTTAGGACTTGACTATAGTATCGAAAAAAATTGGATATTATACGTTTAAATTTTGTTATTTTAATGGGTTTTTTTAATAATTTTATGGGTCATTTTATAATTAAAAAATTTATTACTTTTGTAAGTGATTTATCATTTTTATGAGTATTTTTATTACTGTTGTGATAATTATTTTTCCTATTTTTTTCGGTAAAATTTTTTTTACTATTTTTTGTGGATTATTTATTACATTTATTGCTATTTTTACCACTATTGTGATACTTATTTTTATTACATTTTTTTAGTACCACAATTAAATGAATTACCGTAGTATACAACTAATTTAAATTTAAATTTATTAGGTCTAAATGATTTGAGTCCTCGTTGAACTTTTTAAATTGAGGAGCTTAAGCAGTTCAAACAAGAAACTCTATTTATTAATGTAAATGTCGGTATGATACCAAATATATTTTTTTTTTGGTAGTACAGCAGACAACTCCATCTGATTAAGGCGTGCAAGGAATAGACTGTTGAATTTCTGCTTAGGAAGAACTTACGAGTTTCCTTCCCCTATCTAGTCCAGACCCATTTGGAAGGTTTCTCCCGTGGATGAGGGCTGCTGCTATGATCACATCACACTACTACAACACACCTGGTTACTCCCGCTCTACCCTTTTTAAATGGTGACAACAATGATCATTGAGATTCATTCTTCTTCTTTTTTTTTATGGGTTATATTTCACATAAATAAAATTGCACTCACCAAAACTTCTATCAAAACTCCAAAAAATCAACTTTTTGAATTAACCTAAATAAGCTTTTTTTAAGTCCAAAAAACTGCTGCAAAAGTCGGTCTAGAAGCCCAAGTCTCAAACAAACTTGACTTATTTTACTCCAAAAATCAGCCTTTTTCGGTTTGGCCATTGTTGAATTGTTACAAGAATATACCACAAATGAAGATTTCTACATTTGGCATTGTGATATTGTGCTGCTAAGGCACTGCTTCTGTTTGATCAAGGAGCAGAATACATGTCTATTAACAGAACAACATCAAAATGAACAAAGCTTACATGATACACCATGCCATGGTGAAACAGTCATGGTGGTACTAATAATTTGGAAAACAATTGCCACATAACTTCTAGTTACAAATGTAAGGAACAAGAGAACTGATAAAAAGAGACCTTTCAAGGCATTAAAGCATAAAAAAAAAATCAATTTTCTAGACAATCAAGAAACAAACAAGCCACCAGATTATTACCATCACTGTAAAAATTTTGCCTGATTATCTGGAGAGCAGGGCTTTCTTTTCTGCTATTTTCTTGATAAATTTGTGATTCAGTTCATGAATTTACTAGTATATATCACGTCTTTGAGGGCGGAAATCTTTTTATCCACCCCAGAGCAATTTAATTTCCACCATGATGCAATTGGCATTCACTTCAATCCCATAAAATGACATGTTTTATTCATCAGTTGATGTACTGTTCCCATTTCTGCCTACCCAATATTGTTTAGTGACAATCAGTATCTTCTCGGTTACCAGGGGCCCGTCTTCATGATCCATTATTTTGGTATCCCATCTCATGCCTCCAACAATTTTCCTCACTCTGTTTAGGATGTCAACTTCATCTCGGAAAATGACTGTACCATCAGGCCATAAAATACGATCCATCTCTAGAAGGATATCTTCCAATTTGCACCTGCTCAGTCATATATATGATATACTTAGTAAGGCATTAGAAGTAGTATATACCTTAATATATAACAAACTGCGTCTCAGTACTAGAGCAAGAGTTACAAATTACGATGGCTCTATTTTCAGTCATTAAAATTTAGCGACTCATAGTAGTAGCCCAGTACACGAAAGTCATGCTAGTGCAGGAGCTGGGGAGGGTCAGATGGGCTTAACTTTACCCCGCATATTTACTTTAGCAAGACAGGTATTCAACAACTATTTAAATAAAATATACGCAAGATCACTTGGTAGTAACAGAGGAAGCCCACAAAACAAATGTTTCTAATTAAGCTCCTGCCCAACAGTTTACAATGTAAAAGTTTTTAAATTCTGTCTGATGATACTCACATTTTGGAACTCGCCAAAAAACTGCACAAACAGCTGCTACAACTAAAAGTTTCATCTTTTAAACTATGCTTATGACACTGTTTTATCACATTTATGAGTTCATATTATATGATTCAATAGAGGGTCAAAACTTTTATAAAGATGTTTTAAGTAGCGATTTAAGTTATATGGGCTTTCCTAAGTGGCTTGAAGTTTTTCCTTGCATGCAGTTATGCAACTTTCCCCAAACTAAAACCACCACCTATAAAAAACATAGATGAAATAAGGCCAATAGATAGCATTCAACTGGAGAAAACAAGAGGCTTACTTGTTCTGGTACAAGCTGAATACGCCACTGGCATGAATGAGATCACATGTCCTTGGATAGGTAGAGAATCCTTCACACCTGAAAGAGGATAGGAAGCACAAATTTCATTGGGATTCCAAAACCAAAACTTCCGTCTGCAGTACCCTTAATGAAGTAAGAAAAGGAAGCACAATGTACCAGTCATGATATGACCCAATTAGACCTCTCTCATAGATAACACCTAAAGTGTTCTGAGCAACAGTAGGCACAACATTCATCACCCATAATTTTGATGATTGAATTGCTGCCGCAAATCCTCCAAGGCCTGCATTCATATCCATTATGTTGCGATATCTTGTAGTGCCAAGTAATTTAATGATCCTTTTGTAAGCAGCTACATGCTTTTTCCACAGTTTGTTGTCCTCTTGGTAAGATTCAACAGTGACCCCAGGAACAAGTCCCTTAGCTACTCGGGGAGGCACTGCGAATAGCCTAGCTGGAAACTTCTTCAACTCCCCTCCTGCTACTTCATTGGCACTGGCAACCTCAGGGAAGGGAGTTATACAAGCATCCATTCTCTTGTACCTACAGTTCGCCCAAAAATGGAGTTACCAAAGGAATGATAGAAAACAAATAAATTTTACAAAATTTGAATGAGCCAAAATTCACAGTAATGATGCAAATTGACACAAGTTTACAACCATCATGGTTGTTGCCATCCTACCAGAGGATAACTAATCAGAGTTTACCTGTATATATATAATCCCATCCGTCCTTGCCATAAAAAAATTCACAAAACTCAGGGAGACGTTACAATATAAATTTGAACCTGTGAAACCCGACAAGCCATTCATCAGGATGTAATTGTTTAATGAATAATGGGGGCTCGCATATCAGCCTTGGCAGGAGAGGAATTGGATGAAATCACTGGGGGTTCTAATTTAAGGCTACCACATGCTCAAAATCTTGAGTTATTTACCAAATGTGATACATTTTGAATCATTTTCAGCATCACTTCTTGTAGAAAATAGCACGACTATTAATCTACGAATAATGCAAGAAACAGTAACAAAAGCTTCTTCAAAGAACCAACATTGCATATTAATCTACAAATAAGTTGACTCAAAATGGCATTCATACTAACTCACCAGACATCATCAGCATCACCAGATTCACAAATCCTGCCAGACTTCCTTCGGCAGGAATTGGCATTCACTTTTTTTCTCCAGATGGCAATGTCACCTTTCTCGTACTTCTTCTCCCAGCAAAGAAGTTCAGCCAGCTCTTCAATTTTTCTTTGCTCCGCCTTGAGATCCTTCTTAGACCGCTTCCACGTTCTGGAGTAAGTCTTCCAGTTAATTGGAGGTCCAGAAAGGATCCAGTATCCACCAGGTCTAAGAACTCGATCAACTTCCATTAAGTACATGCCGTCTGCATATTAAAGTTTGATTAGAGGTCATCAACTTACAGTGTACAGAATTCACTTAACAAGAATAATATTCTCTCACTAACCAAATTTTAGGAATCAAGGTTCATACATTGAAGTTGAGAAACAAAAATCATCCTTGAACCATTTCATTAAATTAACAAACCTCCAAAATCAACTTCATCCCTTGAACCATTTCATTAAATTCACAAATTATTCAGAAAAAATTATTTCCAACTCCCCGAACACCAAAAAATAAATGAGATATGTGAAGAGAGCTATTTCAGGAGTAAGTTGCTGCATCCTGACGCACTAATTCTCAATTATCGAAAAAAAAAAAAATAACTTTAAAGGTAGAAACATGAATACTGATACACCATTACATAAAAATGTAGTTTGTGATGGACTGTAGTTATTCGTCTTTTATATGGTCTGAAGTTGTTAACACGCAACTCCTTATTTGAGTACACAAAACTACATGCATGAACTATTGATATGTTGCACATTACAAAGGTATGGCACTGATTCCATTCATTAATTCCCCATAAAGTGCAAAGATATAGACGACAAAAGAAGAGTTTGATGATCTTTTCAAGGACTAATTTATATGTAAGTTTACCTTCGGTTCTTCAAAAAATATCAATGCCTTCATAATACCTTAAGATATTTCAGAGCCCTTGGACCCTTTTTGTTATGCAAAATATATGTAACATATAAAAAAGCTCACCATTCTTCTCAAGTCATCTTGCCACAACAGCAATAGGGAAACATATTACACGTAATTTATATTAAGATATGGAGGTTCAAAGAAATATACAGAAAGGGAAACTTCACAAACTTAAAAGCTGCAAGTTGGGATGCAATACTTGAAATTTGAGATGAGGCATGGTCCCACATTAAATATATAATACACTATAATAGTGAAATTACAAGTTATAATGTGCTCTTATTTAACTCTATTGTTTTAATTTGGTAACGCAACAGTTAACAAAGTTCTTAACTTAAGACTAAACAAAAATTTGTCTTTATCCCATGAATCAATAGAATAGAACTGCAAAGATATATATTCAAATTGCTGATGCAAGCTCTGGTTTCCAGTGGTAAATATGAAGTTCATGTCTTTGATAGCTCCCTTCTCAAGGGAGACAACTCTAATCAACTGGCAGGGAGGAATATAGTTTTATTTTCCATACTTTGTTTTCCAAATAAAAGCTGCTGTAGATCCCACAATACAAGCAAGCTAACAAAAAACAAAATACAAAACGAATACAAGATTTGACAACCTTAATGTTTATCATTTCTACAACTTACCATTTGATGCCCATGGTATCAAACATCGAGAACACTGGACCATGTCAAAAGCTCTTGATGGGTATGGGAGGCGTATTGTTCCAAGAACACCAATTACAGCTGGCACTCCTCGCTCTAATGCAAACTGCACTTGTGCTTCGTGATTATCCTTTGGTGCAAATGACATAGCAAGCACATTTCTCTTCAGCAAATAAGCACCCCAGCTTGCAACCTGTATCATGATTGGTGTAAACAGTGCAGCAACCATGGTCAAATATTGTCATCACCTTGAAAAACACAGAACAGAACTGTTTACGACAGTATATTTAAGGAACAGTGATTTCTCTGTCTCGTGTTCAATTTTAATAAAGACAATTTGAGTCCCCAGCATGAATGTCCCTGACCACAAACCTTTTAGCTAGGTGTTGCTAATGTTGCAGAAGAGATTGTACGGTCAGGTCTTAAGAGCATAAATCAGGTTGATTCTTTTTTCATATAAGATAGTCTTGAGTCTCAATGTACTGGCTTAAGCCCTTGTTTAAGAACAGGGCTTTAAGAAGGCATATTCAATATAGGCATTGAACCTTATGCATAAGTGCAAACAAGTTTCCATGTTCTATGGCAAGAAATTTAGGTCCACTTCACTAAAGGTTATTTGATTTTTGAACGTGCCAAATTTGGGGCCACTGCAAAGCAGCTAAAAATTATCATAAATACCAGCAGAGGGAAAAACAAAAGAGAAGAAAAAATTCAGCTATTAAAGTGCGTACAGGCGCTACTTGGGAAAGAGGAGATTAAATTCTTAAAAGTAATTGGATGTAACAACCGNGAAAAAAAAAAAAATAACTTTAAAGGTAGAAACATGAATACTGATACACCATTACATAAAAATGTAGTTTGTGATGGACTGTAGTTATTCGTCTTTTATATGGTCTGAAGTTGTTAACACGCAACTCCTTATTTGAGTACACAAAACTACATGCATGAACTATTGATATGTTGCACATTACAAAGGTATGGCACTGATTCCATTCATTAATTCCCCATAAAGTGCAAAGATATAGACGACAAAAGAAGAGTTTGATGATCTTTTCAAGGACTAATTTATATGTAAGTTTACCTTCGGTTCTTCAAAAAATATCAATGCCTTCATAATACCTTAAGATATTTCAGAGCCCTTGGACCCTTTTTGTTATGCAAAATATATGTAACATATAAAAAAGCTCACCATTCTTCTCAAGTCATCTTGCCACAACAGCAATAGGGAAACATATTACACGTAATTTATATTAAGATATGGAGGTTCAAAGAAATATACAGAAAGGGAAACTTCACAAACTTAAAAGCTGCAAGTTGGGATGCAATACTTGAAATTTGAGATGAGGCATGGTCCCACATTAAATATATAATACACTATAATAGTGAAATTACAAGTTATAATGTGCTCTTATTTAACTCTATTGTTTTAATTTGGTAACGCAACAGTTAACAAAGTTCTTAACTTAAGACTAAACAAAAATTTGTCTTTATCCCATGAATCAATAGAATAGAACTGCAAAGATATATATTCAAATTGCTGATGCAAGCTCTGGTTTCCAGTGGTAAATATGAAGTTCATGTCTTTGATAGCTCCCTTCTCAAGGGAGACAACTCTAATCAACTGGCAGGGAGGAATATAGTTTTATTTTCCATACTTTGTTTTCCAAATAAAAGCTGCTGTAGATCCCACAATACAAGCAAGCTAACAAAAAACAAAATACAAAACGAATACAAGATTTGACAACCTTAATGTTTATCATTTCTACAACTTACCATTTGATGCCCATGGTATCAAACATCGAGAACACTGGACCATGTCAAAAGCTCTTGATGGGTATGGGAGGCGTATTGTTCCAAGAACACCAATTACAGCTGGCACTCCTCGCTCTAATGCAAACTGCACTTGTGCTTCGTGATTATCCTTTGGTGCAAATGACATAGCAAGCACATTTCTCTTCAGCAAATAAGCACCCCAGCTTGCAACCTGTATCATGATTGGTGTAAACAGTGCAGCAACCATGGTCAAATATTGTCATCACCTTGAAAAACACAGAACAGAACTGTTTACGACAGTATATTTAAGGAACAGTGATTTCTCTGTCTCGTGTTCAATTTTAATAAAGACAATTTGAGTCCCCAGCATGAATGTCCCTGACCACAAACCTTTTAGCTAGGTGTTGCTAATGTTGCAGAAGAGATTGTACGGTCAGGTCTTAAGAGCATAAATCAGGTTGATTCTTTTTTCATATAAGATAGTCTTGAGTCTCAATGTACTGGCTTAAGCCCTTGTTTAAGAACAGGGCTTTAAGAAGGCATATTCAATATAGGCATTGAACCTTATGCATAAGTGCAAACAAGTTTCCATGTTCTATGGCAAGAAATTTAGGTCCACTTCACTAAAGGTTATTTGATTTTTGAACGTGCCAAATTTGGGGCCACTGCAAAGCAGCTAAAAATTATCATAAATACCAGCAGAGGGAAAAACAAAAGAGAAGAAAAAATTCAGCTATTAAAGTGCGTACAGGCGCTACTTGGGAAAGAGGAGATTAAATTCTTAAAAGTAATTGGATGTAACAACCGAAGATACTCACAGGGAAAAAATGACAACTCTAGTTTGAAAAACTGCTAGAAGAATATAAGTAAGAACAGAAAAACGTACTCCACAACCAGTATCCAGTGCTGTTCTAACAGAACCGTCTGCAATTGGAATCACTGATGCAACTCAATCAATATATGCATCTGCACCATGAGGGAACATAGTTCCGCCACCTGGAAATTTGAAGACATTACCCTGAAACTGTACCCAGTTCTGAACAGCTTTCTCAACTGTCAAGCTTTTATAAGGAACATTAGCATAGTGAACATAATCACGGCCTTTTGGCCAGGGAAATGGAGTCATATATCCTTTGGGTGCTGGAATAAGACAATGTAACTTTTCCTCTTCAGGTGGACAATGTCTTTCTCTGTATATCATATTTTCCCTGGGGAAAGTCATAGCACGGTCTTGTTCTTGGCAAGGAGTATAATCACTGTATCTAACATCACATGGCTCAAACACTTCGGCTTTTGCCTCAGAAGATTCAACAATTGGCACATCATTATGATGAGTTTCAAAGTCTAGAGAAGGAAAGATATTGCAGTCTCTCTGCTGGGTTATTTCCAAGGCAATACTATCTCCCTTTCCAAAACCACCCTTTTGCCATGCCCCTAGTATGTAAAAGAAACAGCACAGACCAAGTACTATGAATATGCAAACAGGCCTTCATGCTCTATTGCCAGATGAGTTATGCTTAGAGACCATCTTAGGCTTGGGAGGGCACCCTGAACTTACTGTTATGTGAAGGAGCAAAGGAAAGGTATGATTAGCTGCATATAAGTAAGGTAAAGAGAAATGAATAAGATGCACGCAAAGTTGGAGTAACAATTTTTCATAATGGTTTTCAAGTAAGAACACACAGGTTAAACAAACAGTTGGTGACACATATTCACTAAGCCCAAAAGTCAATACGTCAGTGGGCAGAGCGAAGCGGAGCATAGCAAAAATGTGTGATTAGGTCTCATTTCATTGTTCTTTCATATTTCCTCTAAAACATAAGAAAAAGAGGAAGAGACCGAAAAAAGTGAATAGCTTAGATTAGAATTCTAATACGGAATTGTACTGTCTTTTCCAACATGCTTCCAGCTAATACATTAATATCATACTAGTCTACATACATATCTTTGTTCATATAACTTCTTTTATCCTTGCCTAATTAAAACCCTCTACCTTTTTTTGATTATTTGTCATCAAGTGCTTTGGGTGATGAAGATCAAACGAATTGTGACTTTTTCTTCTTTTTCTAATCCCTTCTATCAAAGGTGCGGCCGCAGAATAGTCAAGAAGAAATAGGTTACAATGAGACTCAAAATACACTTAAGGGTGAAATGAGCTTCTACATATTTACACTTTATGTGGATCAGTTTTGAATGGCTCATTACTCATCTTCAAAAAACAATTACACAGTTCATTTCTCTCAAGTTATGACAAAATTTACAACCCCTAACTCTGAATTTATACTCACTACGAGATTGATATCAGGGGTAAGGCTCTCAGCTTGTTGGGTAAAATTGTGTGCATCTAACTCTGGGTACGCCATCCAAGATTGATATCAGATTCAGTTTACTTTCAAAGATGATAAAGGAGATTTGCATTCCCCAGAACCATTTAGACAATACACACTAAACCAAGTTCAACATAGAAAATTAGAAACAGCATGCCTAAACCCTGTTGGCAAAAAGAAAATCATCATGAATATGTGCATTTTATGTATCAACAGAAACTCGTAGATCTTCGTTCAATAAGTAAATAAGATATGCAATGAACCAAAAAAAGAAAAAAAAATGGCAAAAACAGGCAAATGGGTTCCCAAATATAGAAACGAATTCAAATGGAGTTTACATACAGAAACAGAATAGATCAATAAAGATAGACCCCTTACAAGATAGCAAAAGTGCTCTCCAAATGCAATGGTGAGTACAGCTGATATGAAGATAAAAGCTTTAGGCAGTCGGCCTCCACACTCTGCTATAAATGAACTGCGGTGTAAACGTAGAGAGAGAGAGAGAGAGAGAGAGAGAGTGAATTGGGTGAACAGTCTATCCATGTGTGGGATTTGAGAGTAGTAAGTAGTCATCTAGTAGGACTGTAGAAGTTAGACCGTTGGGATTAAGATTTGGGTTATTCGTTCGTTGTCAGTAAAAGTGGGTCACGAGGCAAACGGGGGCGTGTACTGTGTACAGAGTGTTAAAAGTGAGAAAAAAAAAGAGAGAGGTGTTTGACATTCTTTTCATTTATCAGGACATATTATCAGATTAAAATAAATAACTAGAATACAATTTTACTGATTTACTTTAGGAAAAATTTCATTAGCACAAAGATAATCATATCATCAATGAGACGCCCTATATTTTTAAAATTTTTTTACGTATTAAAACTCAGTTCAATTAAAACTCGATTCATGTTAATTAAAATTTATTTTTTATGTATTAAAATTTGAGTCGATTAAAATTCATTTTTAATCGACTAGAATCAAATTTTAATCAACTCGCATTAAATTTTAATCAACTTGAATCGAATTTTAATTGACAAATTATTAAGAAAAATATAAATTTTCATTGACTCAAAACAAATTTTAATTGGAGCTAACAGCTCAAGTAGAGCTCAAATCGGATCAAATTTTAATACGTAAAAAATAAATTTTAATAGGCACAAATTTTAATTCTTAAAAAAAAAATTTAATCAGCTTGAATCAAATTTTAATTGACTCAAATTGTAATATGTAGAAAAATAAATTTTAATCAGCTCAAATTTTAATCAACTCAAATTTTAATTAAATTTTATGTATAAAGATTGTTTGGAGTTGGTAATTTTGACATTTTTAATGATTTGTTTTTGTTATGAATGATGGCTTAACGGTAGGAGATGTCAATAGTATTTAAATATAAACGAAAGGGGTATAAAGGGGTATGGCTAAATTTTTTTCTAATTTTTTTATTTTTATAATTAATGACTATGAATTGATTGAGCCAAAAATTATAATTCTAGATCAACTACTCATTTTTTTTATTTGAAGTGTTTGGATATAAAATAAATAAATCTTATGAATATTCAATTTATCGGTATCTAGTAACATAGATGCACTAAGAAGATGTCACGTGGTAGAAACTAAAAAAAAAGGGGAGATAATTAGTTACAGTTATGTTTGAAAAAAAAAATAACTAACTGAAAGTTATTATTCCGTAATCGTCGATAGAAGTAAAATCGTCGAAGACAATAACTTTAAAAAAAAATGTAGTGGAGAAGATGAAAGATACATTTAAACCCTCCACAAGACATGATCCATATATTTTTAAGAATAATTTTAGATTTGTTTTAAGAAACAGTTACTATTACAATCAGAGTTGTTAATTGAGTCTTTTTTATAACTGAAGTCTCTTTGATTAAATTAATAAAAAAATTATCTTTATTAGTTCTATGTACGGTGTGTTTGTCCATTAAATACATTAACTAAAGTCCTAAAACAAGACATTTAAACATTTCATAAATAATCACCTGAATCGATTGAAACAAGGTAGTATAAACTCTTCTCCTGATTCAAAGCTTAGCACATATCTATCTATCGAAACCTCGTGGTGTTGAGCAATATAAAACTTTTTCAACTGCGCATTTGTTGAATTGGTGGGTTAGAACATAAAATCTATATCAATGTCATCATAGGTTAATTATATATAACAGATTAGTTAGATTATCTTTTACAAGACTTCAACTTGAAATTTTTGAGTTAGCAATCTCTAAAATATTCTAATGGATCAAAAAGTATCTTTCTCTGGGTCCAAAATACACAGATATATGCGCATAATAGAAGCTTATGCAACCTATAATTTTTTGGGTGGCCCTTCCCCCTCCCAAAAAAAAAAAAGCACCACAAAAAATTATTAAAAAAAAAGGGAAAGGAAGTGAATTTGGAAGTTTATGCGTGATACCAAGTAAATATATCTAAAACTTATGTTAATTTTTGGTTATAACTTTCCAATTTGAAAGAGTTGTTATAACTCTAAGGAGTAGGTTAAGTGGTAATAAGAATGAGTTATAAACTTAGACATCCAAAGACTATGTTTGTTGTTGTTTCAGTGAGTTGGTGAAAATGGCGACAAGTACTGCCCAAAACAAGGGCGGTAATGCCGGACTCTCTACAATTCGTTGCATTCTGAAAATCTACATGTTTCTGTTCTTAGGCGACGCGTGTCTTTGTGTACTCTTTCTCTTTCTTCCATTGATAAGTAAGTATGATTTTATTAATCTACATTGTGTGTATAATGTGAAATTAATTTATATTATTTTTTTTGTTGATTTGTTGAAACGGTATTAGCCACTATATGTGCATCTGAAGAAGCTGGGAAATTCTTTGTTGGTGTGGGCGATATTGTACTCATTGGCGGGCGGTAATTCCTACATATCTCACATTTATAAATCATGTCACAAGTCTCACACAGTCAAACCACACTTCAACGTGACAATTTCAAAAATCACCACCGACACAACCCCAAGTCCTATCGAGATTCCAATTGATTGGGTTTCCATTGTGAGCACTTAACTTGAGGACTAAGGATTGCATAGGTTAGTGAAGGGTCTAGACTCTAGACTTGAATCCTAAAGGTGACTAGCGCTGCTACTTCAAAGGCCATTGGATCATTGACAGAACGCTCTATGCTTTCAATGGCCTTTACAAAGCTCTGTGCTGCCGATGGTTTTTATGCTCTAGGATGTGTGTTTTTGTTGCTATGTTCTGTATGTGTGTTTCTGTGTGTGTCAGTGTATGTGTGTGTGAGAGAGAGAAAAGAAGGAGAAAGAGAGATGGAGTGGTGGTGGTTTTGTGAGGTGATAACAGGGTTGAGGTGTGGGAGACAGGTAGAGAGAAAAGAGAGTGATATAATTTTGTTCTTTTTAAGAGATTATAATTGTATTTTTTGTTTTTGTGATCATGTATATTCCGGGGGGAAATGCCTTTTCCTCTTGCAAGTCCAACACAAACTGGGGCCTAAAACGAGAAAATATTTTACAGAAATTTTCGGTATGATTTATTTTTAAAGTTTTAGTGATTTTGGGATCGAACAGGATTAAGTAATAAATAGGATGTAATTGTGAAGTCAAGATCTTACAATGAATAAATTGAATAAAGTTTTAAAAAAGTAACAATATAGCTAAAAATACGGACATATTACCAAAGCAAGAAAATGAGACTAGAAAGAAGAGAAAGAGTTGGAGAGAAGCGAAAAAAGTGGAGAAAAAATTAATGAAAATAATTTGAGAGATATTGCTACTTTTAAAGTTAGAAGTCCGTAATTTTAGATTTTTTTAGAAGATTTTGTTATATTTTAGGATTTTCTATAAAGAGTTACATAGACTTGTGAAAATATTGTTACATTTTAGATAGACTTGTGAAATATATTTGGTTTTTAACTTGGTCCTTTCAAAAAAGCCTCAGAACATGAAACTAAACAAATGGTTGAAAATTAAATTGAATTTCCAAATTTTTTAGGCTCTAGGCGACTATTTTAATGGTCGGGCCTAGGGCCGATCTTGTTGTGCCTTCTCTTATTTAAAAGATTGAAATATTTGTGCATCTCGCAACAATTGTAGTTTTTGCTCGTCCCTTATTGTCAAGTCTTAGTCCATGGAACAGATTAAGTAAGACAAATTGATTATCGGATATTGCGCAAAGATTAAAAGTAATATATGTATTATTTTATATTTTATGCATTTTTTCATTGACCGTTATAAGATACTATTACAATAAATATGTTCAATATTACAATATGATGTCATATAATTTTTATTTTTTAGTAATTTGGACATCTAATTTATATTAAATATTGATTGAATTTTTTTTATATTAACTAGTTTTTATTGTGGATCCTTTATGAGAATGAACAATTTAATTAGTTGGTATTTTGTGTTTAAATGAAAACAAAATTGAGTTTAATAAATGACATTTTTTTGGAAGAAAAATACTTATTATATTTTTTTTATAGAAATGTTAACCCTTTTTTATCCTTTAATAAATGTGTATGTATGAGGTGGACTGCACTTTTGAACGTAAATTTTAAATTTTATTTTTTTGACGTAATATTTGAAGAGTTTTTTTGTTAAGCTAAATTATAATATTTGATCTATACTTTATTATTGAGCTCTAAAATTTTGAGCATTTTTTTATATGTGAGCCTAAAACCCATGTTTTTTGGCTCGAATGTTGAGTCAGCCTTATCCCAAATTTGAATTCAAATCTTGATAATCTCTAATGAAAAGACGATGAATAATTCATCTCATACGAACCTTAGTTCTATGGTTGATAACCTATTTTTAACTGTACCGTAAAGAGGATTAATCGAGATTCGTGTAAGTTAACTTGCACACATTTCACAATTGAAAACAAATAAAGAGTTGTTATAAGCCTTTTATGTATTGATAATATTCATAGTTTCCACTTTTATTAGACTTTTATCACGTCTATATAATAAAGTAGGTTACAATTCAAATCTCAAAAGATAAACAAAATGACTTTTACTATTCGCGGTTGAGATCGTTTTAAATTTTACTTCAAAATTAATCTAACGGCTAATATTAACACCCTAAATTTAACACGAAAAATAAGCCCTTAAGGGTGTATTTGAAGTAACTTTTTAAAAGTACTTTTATAAATTATTTATCATAAATATTTTATTAAAAAATAGTGTTTAAAACCGCTTCACCACTACCTCTACCACCATCACCACCACTACTCCCACCACCACCACCACCTTCGTCACTACCACCACCGCCACCCCCACCGCCCCTGCCGTCACCACCACCACCACCACCCCCACTGTTGCCACCGCTACTACAACCACCACCGCCACCACGGTCAATGCTACCCCACCATAACCATCATCGTCTCCTACAACCACCAGTGCTGCCCACCACCTCTCACCCTCACTATAAAATCGATACTTAAATTCATTTATTTTTCCTCTATGTTTGTGATTTAATTTTGA